TTTTTGACACAAGGTTTGATGGCAGGTTTAGTGGGAGTTTCGATGACAGGTTCTGACACATTCTAATGCCAGGTTTTGACACTAGATTCCGATGGCAGGCTTGGAAAGCTGGTTCCGGGTTGTGAGGTTTTTGAGACAGGTCTGGAAATAGGTATGGGCGGCAGATGTTGACACCAGTTTTGGTACTCGTTTTTGACAGCATTATTTGACAAAAGGTTACTTGCATTACTAAATAAAACTAACAACTCTAATCATAGAATTCTAGAAAGCAACACCTTGTGGCAATCAGTGACAGGTATCAGCCTCAATTTAAAAAAATGAAGTTGATAAAATTCTGAAATTTTTACACAAACAAATTTTAATCTTATTTTGTCTGACACCAGTCACTCTTTCAAAAACCCACAGCAAAAAATTCCTCCCCTTCCCGGAATAAAAAGAGAAAACCTTGAACCTTGATAAGAATTTCAAGACAACCTTTCTGCTTTGTTTGCCAATTTAAGGCTGAACATGGCAAAACAACTCCCATGGTGAGGCTGGAGGTTTAAACCCCACTCCAGTCAATTTCTTCAACCAAACTGATTCCAAATTGACCTTAACCAGTATCAAAGAAAAGTCACTGCATAAATCAATTCTTAAAGACTGTAACCAAAAAAAATAAGTTCAATAGAACAACATACTAGCCTTTTCATTGGCTGTGGAAATCCTGTCCTCAGCATTTGGTAACGACATCTTTGACCATCTTGGTCAGTGGGAAGTCTGAGTCGCTGATTGTCGGGATGGGGTTGAAGCCTACCTCTCTTGCCCTCCGCCTCCTGATGAGAAAGACACCGACGATAACCACCAGCAGGGCCAACATGAGCAGGCTGGCGATGAGGATCCACTTCCAGAAGTCTAGACAGGGGCAGGAAAGAAGAAATAGCGCATTCATTAACCCTTGCTCTACTCCACCCTCCACAGCATTTCAACAGAGTTAATAATGGCCTGTCCAAAAGTGTTGCAATCAAGACCATCACCAGACCTTTCACAAGTCCAGACATAAGACCACACACAGGACCAGTCACAAGTAATGGTGACAGAGGAATGTTTTGGTTGCAGTTAAGTTGAATAAGAACAGCTTGTGATTTGAATTCAGACTAGAGGTCTTATATCGGTCTTCTGACGGTCTGATGGGGCCTTTTGACTGTGTGATGGGGCCTTTTGATGGTCTATGAAGCCTTTTGACAGTCTGATGGGGCCTTTTGACTGTCTGATGGGGCCTTTTAACGGTCTGATGGGGCCTTTTGACAGTCTGATGGGGACTTTTAACGGTCTGATGGGGCCTTTTGATTGTGTAATGGGGCCTTTTGATA